TAGATAGATAGATAGATAGATAGATAGATAGATAGATAGATAGATAGATAGATAGATAGATAGATAGATGATAGATAATTAATGATGATAGACAGACACAGACAGACAGACACAGGTGACAGACTGACAGACAGACAGATTTAATATGCTATCCTGCCTTTATTATTTTTATAAATAATTCAAGGCAACAAGCAGATCCAGCACACCTTCCTCCTCCTATTTTCTCCATAACAACAGCCCTGTGAGGCGGGTTGCTTTGAGAGAGAGGGACTGGCCCAGAGTCACCCAGCTGGCTTTCGTGCCTAAGTCAAGACTAGAACTCCCCGTCCCAGTTTCTAGCCAGGCGCCTTAACCAGTGGACCAAAGTGGCTCTCACGAAGCCGCCCTTGCCTGTTGCGGGGGAGGGTCTGACGTGGTCCGGAACCACCACCCCCCGTGCCCATCGTCCTGAGAAGGGAGCCCAGCGCAGCCCCTCCCCCGAGAGGCTGCCCCTTACCCAGAGTGTTGGCGATGCCAGTTTTGACGCTGGAGGTGCCAACGTGGCTGATCCGATTCTCGTGCTCTGGTTTCACCAGGACGGCGATTTTGATGTTCCAGAGGGACTGCATGGCGATCTGGAGGGACATTGAGAGTGGGGGGGGCTTCAACTGGGGGGAAGAGGAGACCCCCGTGGCCTGTGGGTGGAGTCACCACTTCCCTCCCCAGAGGAGGAGGAGGAGGAGGGGGCGTGGGAGTCAGGGGCATCCTCAGGGCAACCTGAGAGCTGCGAGGGGAAAGAGGGGATGGAGCTGGCAGAGAGAGAGAGACAGAGGCGGAGCCTGAGCTGTCAATCAGCCCTCAGAGGGAGCGTCAACAGCCCCCAGGTCTGGAGGGGGCTGAGGAGGAAGAGGAGGAACAGCTGGGCCCAGTGCCTGATACGTGGCTGCACAGAAGGCAGAGGAGAGGAGAGCAGAGGAAATCTATGGGCCGGTCCTCGGGAAGAGCCACCGCTGCTAGCGAAGCCCCACCCTAACTCTGGGGATCAAAGGCAGGGGGCGGAGATGAATAGNCCACCTCGGAAGGATGGAAGGCTGAGTCAACCCTGAGCCGGTGAGATTTGAACCACTGAACTGCTGATCTAGCAGTCAGCTGAAGTAGCCTGCAGGATTTGAACCACCTGAATTGCTAACCTTTCTGATCGGCAAGCTCAGTGTCTTAGCCACTGAGCCACCGCGTCCAATATTACGGAATCCATTTTAATTTCCCGGAGTTCGAATTGTTCAGGGAAACATTACCAGCCGGCCACAAGAAGCCACATGGCCCTCTCTGGCATTTTGTGCAGGCAGCATTTGGTTAAAAAGAAAGAAGGTGGGGAAAAAAAGAGAAGGAGAAGAGGCCGAGGCAGTAGAAATAACAAGAAACATTTTGACTTCTGCTTCTTCATGAATCAAAGCTGCCAAACATGACAACTTTCGAGATTAAACTGTGGGGCTTCCATCACCAGGTGCCACCAAGGCCACTGCTTTCTGAATATATCCTGCCTTAGAATGAAGAGTTATCGATAGACAAAACTTGACAAGTGCTTTCGTTTTTTGGAATCAGATATAATTATGCTGTTTCAAGGCTGGAGGATCCAGATAAGTACCACTCACTTTGTGGGAACAGAATGAAGAGAAGAGGTTATCCTGTTATTATTTTTTTAAAAGCTTGCCTTTCTTCTACTTTGAAATCACAGAAAATGATTTTATACACTGTGTGGTGGCGTGGTGGTTAGAATGCAGCATCGCAGGCTAACTCTGCCCACAGCCAGGAGTTCGAGCCTGACCAGCTCAAGGTTGAGTCCGCCTTGCGTCCTTCTGAGGTCGGTAAAATGAGGACTCAGATTGTTGGGGGCAAGAGGCTGACTCTGTAAACCACTTAGAAAGGGCTGTAAAAGCACTGTGAAGCGGTATATAAGTCTAAGTTCTATTGCTCTTCCTTCCTCCTTCCTTCCTTCCTTCCTTCCTTCCTTCCTTCCTTCCTTCTTTCTTTCTTTCTTTCTTTCCCTCCCTTCTTTCCTCCCTCCCTCAGCCTTCCGTCCTTCCAAGGTGGGTAAAATGAGGACCCAGATTGTTGGGGCAACATTCTGACTCTGTAAACCACTTAGAGAGGGCTGTAAAAGCACTATGAAGCGATATATAAGTCTAAGTTCTATAGCTTTTCTTTTTCTCCTTCTTTCCTTCTTTCTTTCTTTCCTCCTTCCTTTCTTATTTCCTTCATTCCTTCCTTCACAGTAATTAGACTGCAGTATTGCAGGCTAACTCTACCCACTGCAAAGGGTTCGATACTGACTGGTACAAGGTTGACAGCCTTCCATCCTACTAAGGTGAGTAAAATGAGGACCCTGATTGTTGGGGACAAGAGGATGACTCTGTAAACCACTTAGAGAGGGCTGTATATAAGTCTAAGTGCTATTGCTATTGCTACAGAAACCACTTTTACTGAGAGATAAAATAAAAAAAATGGTTTATATATATTAACCTCTGAATTTAATTTCTTTTTCAAGGGTTTTGGGTATGGTACAAAAATATACTTCCATTCACAAGGAATAGCTTGAACTCCTGGCTGAGGGCAGAGTTAGCTTGCAATAATGACTTCTAATCACTGGGAAGGT